CCCCCTCCGCAGGCCTGGCCGGTAACGGGCGCCCCGGTTTCTCGTTTCTTCCAGGTCCATCGCCTAAGGTCAGTGGATAACTTGTTTGTTGTTGTTCAGGAGTTCAAAGACTATCAATTTAAAGAAACCAAGGTGAGTTACTCCTCATCCCTCAACCGGTCCTGGGATTTGTAGTGGGTTTTTTAACGTAGGACTAGTTGCAGAAAGTATTCTGTTTTATGAGCAAGTTGAAGGGGGTTATTTGTGGTGTTATCCTGGTTCTTCTTTGCTGGTCTGGCAAGCGGAAGCATGGTTGTGTTGTCTAACATCTCTTCTTCAATTAAATACGTTGCATGGGCAAAATCTGGGATAAGAGCCAATGCCATGCTTGTAGGTCACATATAGACACAGGACAGTGAAGTATCACTTCAGTCATTTTAGTGTTAGGTGTTTATTTGAGAAGACACAATTATGAAATACTATGGGTTCTGTGACATTAAGTCTAACTCAGTGTCGCTATGGCATAAATAGCACAAAAAGCTGTAAGCTTTGCTTAAATGTGTAATGGGTGCATGGGTAGGAAACTAGTTTGAGAGACCTTTTTAAAAGTGATGGCTTCGAAAGGGATGGAATGACTTTAAAGCACATCTTTTTTTGTCTGTTAAAGGAAGATGCTCTAAAGGATTTGGAAGATTTGGTTAAAAAGCTGCCCTGGACCGATCCATTGAAAGTTTGGGAGCTGAACAATAGCTTAAAAAAGAAAAAGACAAAACGCAAAAAACACAATCTGCAGAGTACTGCGGGCAAAGAGAAGCTGAATAATGATGGAGAAGAGAAAGGAGCAGATCACAAAGATGCCAGGAAAGAGGAGGACTCTGCCCAAGACACTGCAGGTGTAGAGCCCGCTGATGGTCAGGATACAGAAAAGATGCCAGAAGTGGCATCCCAAAACGAGGAGGAGGAGGAGGATAACAACGAACAATCAGGTGCTAAAGATGAATTGCAGGAGGGTGCTGGGACTGAGACCAAGGCTCCTGAGGGCAAGACAAGCGACGGGGAGGCGAAGGTGTTGAAGTTCCGTGTGACATGCAATAGAGCAGGAGACAAGCACAGTTTCACCTCAAATGAGGCTGCCAGAGATTTTGGTGGAGCCGTGCAGGAGCACTTCCAGTGGAAAGCTGACATGACTAACTTTGATGTGGAGGTACAGTGTTGTGCCTTGGAAAATACCTGCATTTCTGGTGTAAAAACTCTTAGTTCTGATGCACAGATTGCTCCAAAATGCTTTCAAAAGATGGCTCTGGAACTGAAAACTGAAATGCTGAAGTCATGGCCTCCTCAGAGGCACTCATTTCACGGGCACGTCATGCGTGTCCCTGCATCCCACCACTCGCCTTTGCCATCCATCATAGTAATCCCTTCTGTTGGCCCACTGTGGGCACAGCTCCCCTTCTTTGGGTCCCTCTTTTGCTCTGCACATGCTGTTGTCTTCTTGAGTTAGCTGACCCGAGTCAGTGCCCAAAAACCTTTCTTCTCTCCCTCAACCACAGCAAAAGCTGGGGTACCGAGTATTGATTCCTCCTCTAGCACTTGGTCATACTCATATTTAAATACAACATAGGTGCTTTCTGCTTTACTTTCACACTCAATAAATCTTCCCTTAATCTGGTGGTTTATATAGGTGTAAGTTAACAGAAGATACACCATCTGGAAGCTGTAGTTTATGGGTGAGGTGACAGAAAGGGTTAACGCTAACTGTCCAGAATCTGCTACTCAGAGGGAAGGCAGAGGTTAGGTGAGGACTGGTCCACTGTTTTTGAGGGGCAGAAACCCCAAGTTTTTCTTGCAGATCTGTGAAGGGCTGACCCACTGCCCTAGAAAAAGTTTTTCACCTTCCAGATTAATACAGTGAAGGGGAATAGGTATACGATTTTATTGCTGCTTTGCAGATGCTTCACTGTGACTTGCAGGACCCAACTTCTTCCCTGTATTTGCAAAATACAACTTTTTAGAAGTCAGTGTAATTGTTACAGCACTTTCTGAAGCCTTGTGTAAAAGGTTCTGTATGAATGAGAAAATGTGTGAATGCTCTCCAGAATGTTGTCCATTGTTGCCATAAATAGTGCATTGCTTTGTTTCCAGGAGTGCTCTTTTATATGTAGTTCATGGTTTTTAAATTGCCATCTGGGAGTCTCATAAATATTTACCAGTCATACTATGGATAACTTCTGTTATTGCTGAAATTTAGCTCAAGCTTTTTTCTTTAAGGTTCTTCTGAATATTCACAATAATGAAGTAGTTGTGGGTATTGCATTAACGGAAGAGAGTCTTCACAGACGGAATATTACACATTTTGGACCCACAACTCTGCGTTCAACTCTCGCTTACGGCATGCTTAGGTCAGTGCGATTGCATAGCACTGTATTATTCTCAGTTAACAAGTCATTTTGTTTTGGAAGTTAGATCCTTTGTCCCCCCACTCCTTCCTCAAAAGCCCTTTCTGTTAATTCTTAAAGAAAGAAAATAAGCATAGTTGCTGAAGCTGCGTGCTTTGTAATTGACAACGTTTTCCAGCTAAGCAAAGTAAATGTTTTCTGTGTTGCCAGTGTTTTATCACATGCTTGAAAGTATTTCCCTGTACTGCTGTTAATAAAGTGCTAATTAATGAATGGGGGAAAAGAATCACATAGAAGGTGTTTTTGTTGGAATCACAGTGATTTAAATAGTTCCATTTTCCTTCCTTACAGAACTTCATGTTTTTAAGACTTCTCACCATCTTTTCTTCTGTTCCTCAGGCTCTGTGATCCACAGCCGACGGATATCATAGTTGATCCCATGTGTGGTACAGGTGCAATACCAATAGAGGTGATTCCTCCTTTATTTTATAACTTAATAAAACATGACGGTATCTGCAGCTGAATGATACGTGTAAGTTTCCTTGTTACTAACTGAATAGTGATCAACAGAAGTGTCTGGACAGCTTTTAAACAGATACACTTTTTGTAAGTGACGTTGTTTTCCTACCCAAACCTGTAGCAGGAAGAAACTAAATCTGAAAGTACTTTTAAAATTTCAAGGTTCATAGTACTTGTAACAGATACCTGTTTTTTTAAAATCACTGACATCCACCTCCAGTTGCTTTGTTGTATTGTGTCATGTTTGAGTGGTTCTTCTGTTTGTTTTAAGTTCATTAGTGTTAATGTTAGTGTTGCTTATTGTCAGTATTTCCCCCCAGGGAGCTACAGAATGGCCTAGCTGCTACCACATCGCTGGTGATAACAACCACCTGTAGCAGGAAGAAACTAAATCTGAAAGTACTTTTAAAATTTCAAGGTTCATAGTACTTGTAACAGATACCTGTTACAGGATTTTAAAATCACTGACATCCACCTCCAGTTGCTTTGTTGTATTGTGTCATGTTTGAGTGGTTCTTCTGTTTGTTTTAAGTTCATTAGTGTTAATGTTAGTGTTGCTTATTGTCAGTATTTCCCCCCAGGGAGCTACAGAATGGCCTAGCTGCTACCACATCGCTGGTGATAACAACCCCCAAGCTGTAAAGAGAGCGGCAAACAACATCTGTTCTTTACTGAAGAAAAATGAGAACAAGGAAAGGTGAGAAGTTCAAAGAGAGAAGTGATCTTCATTTCCTGTAGTATTGTGTGCAGAGAAATCCATTTTGCATTCATGCATTTGACTATCTTGTTTGTATTTTCCCGTTTATTCTTTTTGCCAACGTTATAGACCTCCTCAAACTAAAAATACTCTTCATAAACCACTTATGAGATAACTGTCTTTGCACTTGCAGCAGTGCTTCCCCGGGCATACCTTTAGACATCATTCAGTGGGATATTTGCAATCTCCCTTTGCGGACTGGATCCGTGGACATCATTGTGTCAGACATGCCGTTTGGAAAGAGGTGAGGTACCGCTGATAAAGGTGCTGTGCTGCGCTGGTGCTGCATATGCTTGCCTGTCCAGGGTTAGGGTTCTCCCTATTTAGTTACTTAACTAATTAGGAAGTATTACATACTTTATATGAAAAAATGGAGGTTGAAATTAATAGTAAATGAGGTCCTGAATGAGCTAATCCATCTGTGGAAGACCAACAATACTTAACTGTTCTTCAGTGATCACAAGGGGGATCTTAATTTATTTTGCAGAATCGGGTCCAAGAAGAAGAACTGGGATCTGTATCCAGCCTGCCTGATGGAGATGGGCCGGATCTGCACACCAGGGACAGGCAGGGCTGTGCTGCTCACACAGGACAAGAAATGCTTTGCCAAGGTATGTTCTGTGAGATAAAATCAAACCTGCTTACACTTGGAAATATATTGAGGAAACATTGTAAGCTGTCTTCATGACAGAAGGTGAGCTATTTTTGGAGCAATAATTAGTAACACTTAAACCAGTTTTGGACCTGAGAAGTCATTTGACGTTGCCATCAGATGTGATTTAGAATAATCAACAATAATTTCTAAAGCAAATTTGCCCTGGTTGTCTTTGTCTGGAAGCCACCACCACTCTTTGGCTGTGTGTTTGCATCGCAGGCCTTGTCACGCCTGGGCCACATCTGGCGCAGAGCTCAGACTGTGTGGGTGAACGTCGGGGGACTTCACGCTGCAGTGTACCTCCTGAGGCGCACCTGGGAAAGAGCAGAAGAAAAAAGATCCTTCTGGTAACCTGCACAGAAGAGACAGAACTTGTTGAATTACAGTCTGGCAAAGCAGACATCCAGGAGCATAGACCTGTCATTTCCTAAATAAAAAACCCAAACAACCTGTGTAGACCTGTGTAACACAAATACTAAACCAGGGATCAATTTAAGAGCTACTGCTTGTACTGTGTTCTGAAACCTTGTTATTTAAATCACCTCTTTCCTCCACACCACCCAAAAGTGGTGAAAGTCTGTAGTTGAATTAGTAATGCTTTCCTTTGCTTGAGTCTTCTCTACCATGTTCAGTGTAGTTTTCAGTTCAATGTTTATTTCCTCTGCTTATAGTAGAAAACATGTTGAGGCAGCTTTGGAGGTGACAGTTAATTTATTTCCCAAACTGTAGAAATCGTATATGTATCTTAAAATGACTAACAAGACTACTACAGCTGCCACCTTGAAGGGTTTAGAGGTAGTATCTCCAATGTAGGATTTTTCCAGATTGAAGTTCTGTAGTTTATACCATTGCCCAAATGTACACTAAGATAATAAACCACTGTCTGTTTTATTATGGTCTGATAAGCAGATGCCAGTTAGCAAACAGGATGCTGATGCTACTGTTTTTCTTGCCTGTTACCTCAACTTAGTGCTATTAGTAAACATCTCATCCATCTTACTGTACCACTGCCGTGGGTGAGGGGACACACGCAGCCTTAGCATACTAACTATAGTTACTGCTGGAGAACAGAGATACTTTCAGCAGTTCTATTAGTGTTTTCCGTGCCTACTGTAGGCACATCAAGTTGGCAGTGTTTAAATTTGAGGTGATTTAACTGCCATAGTTATGCCACAATAGTTACCAAAATATTACCTGTTGAATAAGTTGAAGTTGCAAATATTTTTGTCCTTCTGTAAATGTACTGTGATTTCTCAAGCCTCTTCCTTGGCTGGAAACACCAGTTTGCCATTAAACTCTTCGTGCTCTTTGTGTGCATTTAGAGGTGAATTAACAACTATTAAAGTTTTGCAAGTTTTCCATAGGAGTCAGGTCTTTATTGTGTTCGTTTATGCTCCGTGTCCGGAGCCCTTTGTTAGCGCATCTTTGTGTGTGATACAGCGATAGCGGTGATGCGGGTGTCCGAGCGC